CGCATCTGCCAACGCCGCCGACCAGACGCGTGGAAGCAGATCGCCGACATGAGTCCAGTCGTCCACAGAACCTGGGCGCCTATCCATACAGCGGCGCGTCGCGCTCATTGGCTGCGGAGCAAGTGGGACGATCTATTTTCTACCTCCGTGAAACCTCACCATCTCCTCACACTCAGACCTTTTCGCTATACACAGCGGCTCTGAGAAATTGCAATTGCCAGACTGCGAAACTCATTGGCGGCGCACAGGCATTCCTCTAAGAGTCATCCTTGAATGATGATTAAGTGAAAGTCTGGAATGGCATTGGGTTAATACGTACGCAAACTCTACGGTCCCCTTGCTGCTCTGGCTTCTTTGACACAGGCCACATAGTGGGTTTCAGGACGAGATGTCTTCGAGATGTAGTAGAAGAACATGTGTCGCTCTTTTCCTTTCTTCTTCGACCTCTCACTATCTGACACTTTCGTTCTCGCGAATATTGTGGCCTCTCTTTCTTTTCTTCAGTGTTTTCAATATTTCCTTCACCCTTTCATTTGTATCTCACGACTCTCATTGTCATACTACGTTGACCACACTCGTTCCGACTATTCCACAAGTTTTTGAACAAAAGCAATACTAGACGCGGGCGTCTTCCCTTAATCAACACAAAAACGAGCTATGTATACCTTCAGCATCACACCAGACAGGAAGATATTCAAAACCAACAGCAAGAGGAACCTGGAGAACATGGCTCCGAAAGTACGACCGGGGCTGGCTCTGGACACGACTGTCGGACGTCACAGGGGGCTGGAGCCTCAACAGGTCTATCCTTACGAGTCAAAAACAGAAGAGCTGGCTCCTCAGAAGCCTCGTAGGGGTGGTGGATTCAAGGGTAGCATTAGGGAGCAGATTGAGAGTAGGCTTCCGGCGAAGGTGGCTGGCTATAAGCAGCTCGAAGGAGACGGTGGAGAGGCCTCTACGAGGGAAACTCTTGCCGTGCATAGGAGGGTCAAGGGCTTGAAGCCTCCACCTTTGCAGCTGAACAGCAGCATCTCGCCTTCTGACCGTGCCATCCCCATAGGCATATCATTACCATCTTCATCCCTATCCAAAGACAATGGGTTTAGTTCAACACAGCTGGCGATTGTCAGGACTTCGCCACCAAGGACCGGGGAGTCGTTCCCCAATGGTGGCATCACTCCGACCATCATCATCACGCCGGCAAAGGAAAGATTCGGCTTGAGTCAATCACCAGACGAGCTTGAGCCGCACTATCGTTTCAGGCCTACGTCAAGCGTGTACAGCAGGTACACAAATGGCGCCTTGAAGGGCTTGATGCTGGCAAATGGCAACGCTAAGCCGCCACCTGTCCCTCCACTGCCTCTCTTCTCAGAGCCGGCACATCTGGACTCGACCCGCCTTCAAGATACTCGCGCGTCAGCAACTACTGTTTTCGAAGAACACGATAAACATCGCTCGCGTAACGCTGCTCTCTCGATGTGTACAGGTTTCGAAGACATGTCTCCCATGACATCGACGTATGGAAGCCTTCGTAGTGCGCCAATCCGAGATTCTAGACGAGTCACAAGGCAGTCTCACCTCCCAACACCAATGCGAAACAAGGGTTGGTGGAACGTGATCACTTCACCGTTCTCTGCAGGTGCTGCCTCCACTTTCTGGCGTTCTCCTACGATTGATGAGGGCAAGGAGATGCATCACAAAACGCCGGCTGTGAAGGAAGCGTACGACAGCATGGGTTTTAGCAACCCGCTTTTTGGCAGGATCTTCAATGGGCGCAAGGACGGGGACGATGAGCTCCGCTCTGCTCCCCCTGACCATGTTGATGATTCAAGCCTTCTTAGAGACGCTCCATCCATACAAGGTGGACCCAAGAGAAGTTTCACTGCCCCAAGCGCTATCGATCGAAATTCTTCCGCCAAGGTCAACATCTATCGTACTCCAAGCCAAGGTGCAGCAGCGGCATATTACGACATGAACAGGCATTTCCCTAGCCTCATTCTACCTGCTTGCAGTGACCTTGACTCCGAGCCACGCAGTGTATTCTCACCCGATACGCCTGAAAACATGAATTATCTGGAACTCCAGCGACAGGTCGCGGACTTGGAGGAGGAGGCTGTGCTGAAGAGTGCGGTCAAAGATGAAGATCTAGAAGCGAGACTGGCTGCGTTGGAAGCCAGACTCATTGAAATGGAAGCGGCTAAAGGTGTGGAAGCCTCTGGGTCTGCTGCTGACGAGTATGAAGACAATCCATTTGCCGATTTCGATCAGAACGACACTGCAAGACCAGCATCAGGTGTCTTGCATAGCGCTCATCCCGACAACCTGGAGGCTACGGGATCGCCTGTGGGTGATGTCTATCAAGCTCCGCTGAAAATGCCAGATGGGCCAATTGTAACTCCAGGAAACGATCCAATGCACACAACAGCTTCTCGTGCCGTTTTCGCGACCCCATCTGCAGAAGAACTAGCAACGCCGATGCCTCACATGCCACCTCGCATATCATCGCCGCCACTCTCGCCTTCACCAGTAGTCGAGCATGCTCATATCGCCCAAGTCATGGGGCCCGACTCATTCAATGGTGAGCAACGTGAAGTTGACATTACGTCCGCACGCACCCCAGCACTTGCTTCGATTGCAGGTGGTCTAGGTCTTGCAGACGCAACAATGCACAGCCAGGCGGGCGAAACAAGCAGAGACATACCTCCCATACATGGCGAAGCAGCTTCGTTCTATCAGCGGCCTGTAATGCATTCCCGACAGAGCTCTTATGGTCTTGGCATTAGCGGTGGCAACCATTCTCCAACCGATAGCCAGGCCGGACTGTTCCCTCCATCACAGCCACAATCAAAGCGGATCTCAGAAAAGTTCACCCTTGGTACCGATCGCTTCCGTCAGCTAACCATCCGCTCGCTGGACGAGCCTCAAAAGTCTCATCAGCCTTGGTACAAGCGCTTCTTCTGGCTTCTCGTAGCAACTGCCATCACTCTTTTCCTGTTGATGATCGTACTATTGGTCGTACTCATCCCACAGAAGCATGGTGACGTGGCTGTCCAAGCCCAGTGGCTGAATTTGACCGGTTTCCCTGCTCTACCCACTGGCATTTCGACTGTAATCCAACCAAGGGCCATGAAGAACGAAGGAAAATGTGTGCAGTCCGGAATCTGGAGCTGCGCTGCAACACCTATAGGGTCTGCCAATCAGAAATCACGAAGAGATGACGCTGTGGGTGGTTTGCCGAACTTCCGGTTCGAAATTAGGTTCAGGAACCACACTTCTGACAACAATACTGCCCTCACGCCTCAGAAGATGAAGCGGAGGAGCAGCCTCAGCACCTTGGCTTCCTCGAATATGTTGCAAGCGAGAAACGACTGGAGCATTTATCTATACTCCTCGCTTCCATCACCCCCATCTGAGGACGATCAGATGTTCTTGGGCAGAACGACGGACAATGTTAGTGAGCCTTATAATGGGCTGGAGACGCCTTTTTTCATTTCGTTGCTGGATGCTCAGGCTTTACATTCTGGTGATTCTTCGAAAGAAGAGAAGAAAGTTAAGAGACGTAATGGTGGGAGCAGCCAGAATGCGTTCCAGTATCCATATCCTACCTCCAGCAGCAACGGTGCGAACGCAGTGGCTACCAGTACCACCATCAGCGTCAGTACTGGCACCAGTAATGACAGCTCCGCTACCAGTAGCGTAGCTTCCTCCACTCGGTCAAGCGACTCTCAGACATCTAACACAGCAACCCCATCTCCTTCGCCGTCGACTTCGTCAATGACGGCCTCTGGCATGTCAAGTTCTCCTAGCAACACCAGCTCTGTTGCAACTGAGGCCCCAAAATCAATTCCTCGCCTCCCAGTCAAGTCTAACGGCAAGGCTAACCCACCAACCTTATACCCCCAGCCTTCCTCTCAACCACTACGCCTTTACAACCAAGGCCAAGACGACGAATATTACGGCTTTTATACCTACTTCGACCGATCCATCCTCATTTCCTCATCTTCTCTCCTCTCCAACTCCAGCACCACCCCAAACAAGAACGCAGGACAAGCTTTCTGCACATTCTCGCAAACTCGCCTCCACGTCCAGATCTGGACGCGGAAAGGCACCATCGCTTCCCTCAATACTACCACCAATTCAGCCACAGAAGAGAGGACGGCAGCAGCGAATTCATCCGCCAACACAATGACGGCACCAGGATCATTCCCATACCCGGTCACGGTCACTATAGACCGACATGGAGGCAAAGCTGACGACAAGGGTGTCTTCTGCTACGGCGTCGATGATGATGGTTACATAGTAGATGATGCGAAGCTGTGGATAGATGAGGACAGAGGCGTCGATGGGACTTTGGTGAACCCTGCCGGTGTGCCTTCTAATGATGGTGGCAACGGTAGTGCGAGCAGGATGGCCAAACAAGGGCATCATGACGACAATGACAAAGATTATGATGCCTACGGCGGTATCGATGGTGGCAGTGGAGGGTGTGCTTGTGCTTGGTCCAGTGGGTCTTGATCTCGAGCGGTCTGGCATCATGTTAAGAGAAACATACGGGACAGGTTGGAAATTTATACTAGAGCTGGAACGTAGAAATTTAGAGCCTATACGATAATGTTGATTACATGACCAAATACAGGTTGACCTCAAATCTCCCAAAATGAGACCATCCCGTCCTAACCTTGATCCCGTAAGATTTCCTGCAAGAAGTCAAATTCAATAGCAACTATTTCGGTACTCCTATTAGTTAGTACAACTACTCTTATCCACCAAATTGCATTCGACCACCTACTCAGAAGCAGACCCAACATGTATAGACTCTAAGTATACGCCAAAATGTCCAAACACTGTTCACCATAAGGGCTCACAGCAAAGCAATAGCAGAATCTTCCAGTGATGGAACTGCGTCAAAAAAAATAATTACACAAGCTATCCACAAGGAGAGATAGGCCGATGCATCCATGATTAGAAAAGTACATAGGTCATGCAAAAGAAACGTGTGATGACCGTGCCAGGGGTCGAACCTGGAATCTCTTGATACCGTAGAAATCGTAGTCAAGCGCCTTGCCATTGGGCCACACGGCCAACTGTTGAAGCTAGAGTTTTATAACATTGTATATATTGTATCATCAAAATTATCCCAGGCAACGCTGTACTAATTCGAATCGCTACACATGAACTCAGAATATCTTGTGTCTAGAATCGAAACTTTTATCACATCCGAATGACGTCAGAATTGATACCGAGTCTATCGACTTTCGCATTTTCTCTGAAAACGCCCACGGCAGACTCACAGACTATTTCCACTAAGATCTTATCGGTCTCTGATGCGGTAAGAGATCCTATCTTTCCTTATCACTGAAGCTAAACGTACTGGTCAAATAGCCAAATGTACATGGTTCTGGAAAGCCAAGTATTCCAAGTTCAGCTACACGATTCTCGCAAAGGACAGAAATTTGCGCAAGCCCAGCTATTCTTATTGCTTGAAGTTGTATGCAGCGCATGATACGATGTCAAAGAGGACGCGGCCGGCAGTTCTTAGAAATGGATATCGGTGATGGATTTATCAATTGTAATCTTCATGTATTGATAACGCAATGTCTGAGAGTGTTATCTAAGCGTGACGAGACACTATCAGCCTACTCAGCATCTTGTTGCACTGCACCTAAGCCTGCGTCAAGAATCACGAGATACCAGCACGTTCATGCAACATGTGACACGCATTCATGCATTCGTGCGTTCATATGTGCACCTACTGGAGGCTGCAACCCCGCAGAAGGCTGAGCCATACTAAAAAGACATGGATTGGGCTACGAGCGGCCTCACATGTAGCCAACAAGCTTGCTATATCGATTGATTGGTAGAGGTTCTCTCCTGTAGTGCTCGACCGGTGAAGTCGTATACCAATTACTTGATCAGCTGCCAACTTCCGGTTCTTTGAATACCAACGTTTCTTCAACTCGTCCTATAGCCAAGGCTATGTTTGCCCTCCCGCATTGACTTTGGTACAGTATACTAATTACTGCTCTACAATTCAGCCGCGTCTGTTGTACTCTACAAAATCGCTGTCTTGCTACTTTCTCGTTCACGTTCACTACAACGTCTCCTCAGCTTGACGACAGAATGGCTAAAGTTGCAGCAACACATGTTGAAGAGCTACATTTAAGCAGGGCGGTCCGTACTGAGAATGACATTGGCACGAATGAATCTCCAAAATCTTTGGAGAATACAATATCTGATGGCGATGACGAAACACAAAACGCTGGCAAGGTCATTTACGATTATCTGACCGAAAGAGTCGAGGAATTTCGTAAGCTTTGTGAGGTTCGACAGAGGGTCAGTCATACGCATTAAGTTGTCTGCTAACGACGTGATGCTGACTGGTCTACCAAGGGCTGGAATAACAAGAGCGGTGATGAATATTTTCGTAAACAACGGAATGAATCAGACAAACTTGATTCGAAACAGAATCGATACTACTTCAAAATGATGCAGGAGATTGGAAAGCAGCTTCACCGTTCGACCAATGCTTTCAAACTCCCAGAATCTGGCAACTCGACGAAACTCATCTTAGATCTATGCATGGCACCAGGTGCTTTCCTCGACACGGCGATGAAAGCCAATCCAGGATCCCGCGCTTTAGGCTTCAGTCTACCAGCTTCAGATGGGGGCTATCATGTTCGAATACCGAACAATCCGAACATGACTCTGAAGCTCATAGATATAACCATGCTTGCCGCAGATATGGGGATTACAGAGATCTCTGCAGGTCACCCAGATGCCAGCGAATTTCTGCAGCAGGAGTTCAGTAGAGATGACCTTTTCGATCTGGTCTTATGTGATGGTCAGGTCCTTCGTACACACCTCAGGTCACCCTACCGGGAAAGTCGGGAAGCTACCCGACTAATGGTTGTGCAATTGGCTCTAGGTCTTGAGCATATCAATCCAGGTGGCACCATGGTAGCCCTTCTACACAGAGTCGAGAGCGTTAAGACGGCATCCCTTCTTCACACGTTCAGCAAATTCTCCTCTGTCGAACTCTTCAAGCCAGCACCTGGTCATGCAAAGCGCTCTTCGTTTTACATGGTCGCCACAGAAATCCAGGCATCGCACCCAGAAGCTATCGCTGCGATTAGAGCATGGAAAAGAACTTGGGAAGTAGCAACATTTGGGGACGATGACGAGTATCAGACTGTGCTGAGGAGGGATAGTAAAGCGGTGGAGGACATGCTCCAAGATTTTGGACCGAGCCTTATCAAGCTTGGTAAGAAAGTTTGGGATGTGCAGGCGAAAGCCTTGGCTAAAGCGCCTTTCATGCAACATCAATGAGTGATATCAAATAGTTGCAGTATCATCGTAGTTGTTTGGAAGCCGCCAGAAATATGGCTCTACATATTGGTGAGCAATGGAAACAATGGCCCAGGAACACGAGCTGTCATGGCTGACGCATGAAAATAGAACATGTCAAATGCAATCGATGTCCCCCATCACCTCCAGCAAATTATCCAGGGAAGACTTGTGATCACAACAGTGGCGGGAGCGCGAGGAAGATAGAGGGTTGAGCAAACTACACGCACGTACAGTACATCTTCTGGGCTACATTTACCATCCGCAGTGCTCTTAACAATCTTTTCGTACTAGATACAGCAGTGAGATTAGTAGTCTGTTTAATCGAGGGCAGCATCTTATCCACAATGTACTATTCATAGGCGCTTTGCAGTAGACTATTAAAATCGAGGCGTCTGGAGGGTCGATTGTAGCCAACAAATACGGTGTTAGGGTGTGTATTAATGGCACCATGTGCTAATTTTAATTTCACGGCACTTGGCCAGATGGCAAACCTGAAACTGTTGACTTGATCTCACAACTGAACATGTTGGAAAGGTAGAATATTACAAGGGAAGTTTAGTTACATGATCTCATTGCGCTCAATGCTAATACTCGTGGTTATAAAAGTTTTGTAGATGTGCTGTACAAAATTCGACGTCGCTACATCTTTCAGCCCCAAAGGAAGTTCAACTTCTTCCAGCCCTTCTTTGGTGTCTCAAGTGGCTCAGGGTTGTTCTTCGCAATCTCCAGGAAGTGTCGAATCGGCAACTCGTCCAAAGGCACAATCTTGGTCTTCTTCCAGAATTTGTAACCAAAGTACAGGTAGAAGATGAGCGGGATGTTGAAGTAGTTCGATACGAATGTCTGCGTATCCCACTGGCCCTTGATAAAGACAGTGAATCCGCCTGTTAGCAGAAGCAGTGAGAATCCAATCAATGCCAGCCATGCGCCATACGGTTGTAACGGGCCTTTCCATGGCAGTTCTTTACGATCAATACCTTGCTTTTTGCACCCGTAATAAAAACGGAGGTAGACGATTTCGATGTTGATCCAATGAACGAAGGATGCAGCAGATACCAAGTCTTGGAACCATTCGAACACTGTCGCGGCTCCACTGTCAAGAGTCATGTAGCCCAAGAGCATGAAAACACTGATCCCTGCAGTCGCTACCCATGGGATGCCGTAACGGTTCGTACGTAGGAAGATCTTCGGTGCGTGGCCATCGTTTGCAAGACCGTAGAGAATACGCGTCCCCCCTAACATCGCAGAGTTACCAGCCGACCAAGCGCTGGTGAGAACGATAGCGTTGATAATATGCGGGACGACCTTTATGCCCACGCGAGTGGCTGCGACGACATAGGGAGAAGATGCGGCATCACCCGAGCTGGAGCTGATATCCTTATCGTTGGAGGGAACGATGAGGCTAATGACGAAGATCGAGAAGACTGCGCCGCTTTTGTTAGCACCTAGCAACATCGCAGAGATAAAGGCACTTCTCAGGACTTACAATAGAAAATCAAGATTCTCCAGAATACACGCTTGGCTGCCTTAGGGATGTTCCTTCTCGGGTTTGCTGTCTCTCCTGCTGCCACCGAGAAGTTTTCGACATTGGAGTATGCGTAGGATGCGCTTGCAAGAACACGCCAGAAGCCTAGAAACTGGCCCCAAGATCCATCAATGCCTAAATATTGGACGAACGGACCAGGATCCTTCCAGAATTGAAATCCATAGACGTGTCCTGAGGGACTGGCACCAACGTCGATGCAGATGCCCATAAGAATAGAACCAACAACAAGCAGGATCTTGAGAATGGCGAAGAAGAACTCCAGTTCACCGTATATCCGGACGAAGAAGAAATTGCTGACAATAAGTAACGCGCCAAGCACGGTAATCCAGACAGCGTTGTTGATAGAGATCCAGAAGTCGATGATGACAGCCGACGCAACCATCTCAGCTGGGAGCAGCATAGCTGTGGCGTAGACTGTGTTCCATCCCTGACGACTGTTAGATATGCAGCCAAAAGTAACGGGTTGCTTCTGACCGTACCTGTGCGAATGCCAACGCAGGATCGAAAAAGTACTCGGCCGGGCGGACCACACCACCACTCAAGGGCACCAGGGCACTCATTTCAGCCATGCTTGTGACAACGAACGCGATGAGAACACCAATGATGGAGTATGCTAGCACGGCACCTACTGGCCCACCTCGAGCAAGGGCTTTACCCGTTGTGAGAAACAGACCCGTTCCAATCGTTCCCGCTAAAGCGATCATCTGAATATGTCTTTGTTTGAGTCCTCGTCTGGGGCATGTGTTAGAAATGATCGAAAAGACACAAGCGTTTCAGGAACATACTTGAGATGAACGTTCTCAGCGAAGTCGTGGACCTGGCTGACCTGGCCATCATCATCCGGATCTCCAGCAACGTTTGCCTCCTGGTCTGCCATAATTTTGATAGAGGCCTTCTCATCCTTGAGTTCAGATGCCATGACTGCGTTGTTGTCCGTTCAGTATAAGATCCCGAGCACTTGACTGCAAGGAGAACCCGCCCTTGGATAGAGCCATTTGCCCACAGGTATATAAGTTGGATCAACATACATCTTGGATAGTCAAAGCTAGTTCGGGGAAAGAAAAATTGAGACGCCGAACATGACTATTACTCGTCCGATCCCCAACGTAGTTCACAAAGGAACGGAACCGGCAAAAGAAGTCGTGAAAAACATCCCCACAGGTAGTTCAAGAATAGGCATGTCTTTGTC